AATTACTATCTAAAACATATACATGCAACATATCCCCAGATAGCTTAGATCTGAGTGCACATTATTATTGAATGGTGCTCAGATCACATACATACAATTCAATCGCCATGGAGCCAAAGTCTTTTCCATAGTCTTTTGTTACACATGGCATAGCTATCTGGGATAGCACTACTACCATACTGAAAGCCCAGAACGCCCCAGCAGCAATACACAAATAAAACTTTCTGCAGGGGAAAATACCGCTATCAGCACATGGGCCATAGTCGGAAGGCAGGAGGCTAGCCAGTAGTCCCCTCCAGGCACAAGTGGCGAAGGGCACTTCGTCACACTTACTATGTTACAGCACTAGCTGAGCTTTTTGAGATGGTGCAAATGTTATCAACTATTCAATTGTATGTGCATATATGTGTCCAAAAATAAACTATATTTTGGAAGCTGAGTATAAAATAATTTCTCTTAATTTTGATTAATCAAATATATTAACAAAGTCACATCTAGGATATAAAATCACTGTCATTCTTTAATTAAATACATATATCACATGATCTGCTCTTTATTTCTAAATGCAGACCCTTACTCTACTGCACATGTGGTAATATAGGTGCCATATATGACTCTAACTCCCACTTCTCGCAGATAGCACTGAGACATTCTTGCCATAAAAGACTTCCCTTAACTCCTACATAAACTACAATAACACTAACCATAACCTAAAACACTTCCCTAACACTAAACTCTACATTAACCTAACACTTACACTACCTTAACTCTTAGCCCTTACATTCTCCTAACCATTAACATTAACACTAACCCTAACACTAGCGCTACATTTAACGCTAACCCTAACTTTAACCACAACTCAAGCCCAAAAATATTATGCAATTTTAAAGAAACATAACGCAAAAGCATGTATCATTGTTATAAAACTGTGTCTTAGACACTGCAAAATATCCTCAATTATCCCAGAATGGAATGCTTTTGATTTAGGTAAGCTTTTCTAAAATTTTCCACTTTTTTAAATTTCAGCCCACATTTCTTTAGATTCTATTAGAAGACACATTTTTAAATTTCAGATTTTTCCATTTAGACATACGTTATGATCCTAATGGACAAAGTACTAACTATAGCTTTCTTTTGGGGCTCTTAAGAAAGTTTAGATCTGTTTCCATAGTAAAAATATATCTGGTAACATGGATCTAAGCAGTGTGATTAAAAATGCCCCCCCAAAAATCTCCACTGATTTCTGGGCTAATTGCCGTGATAATTCAGAATTGCTTTTAGAATTTACTTATATAAATTTATACTTTCTTATTAATTTAATCTTACATGCATGTATGTACTTCCAATATTTCTGAAAAAAACTGCAAATAAAGTCAAAACAGCACAAAAAAAAAGTAATGAATACTTTTTTATTTCAAAAAGCATATAATAGGTACTAACGAAGATCACTTTCACTGAGTATCAGCCAAGCACAGCTGTATAATTAAAAAGTATGCCAAGGATAACTTTCAATCTTCCGTCTTGTCTTTAAAACAAAAACTATATTAAGCTAAAGAGTATGATAACATGTTTTAATAAAGAATAAACCATGGATTTAAACATAAAACACTGGATTTAGTATTTAATCGAAGACTAACTTCTGAAGAGTATGAAATATATTACAATGATTGCGCAAACAATGCCCACGCTTCTAAACTTAGATGTGTTTCGCCAACATTCTTGTATGTTTTGGCTTTGAACCAATAAAGCCTAATAAATCAATTGTTCGGACAAAAATCATCTTTTCTTATTTCCTCTTAGGTTCAGATGAAGAAAGAGGAACCTCAGCTTGGTATAAACAAATGCATGGAGACAAAACTAATGGCAACAAAGGACAATCTTGTTATGATCTGCCTTTTATCACAAAATACCTAAGAAAGCTTTCATGGAGCCGATACATTCCATTCTTACCAACATTTCAGATGAAGAAAAATTAACACTCTTATTGCTCTTTACTGTGTATTCCTTTCACTTATTAAGCAATGCAAGTGATGTTCTTTCATTTAACATACTTACTAAGTGCCAGAGGAGTAAGTAGTAAGACATTCATTTATAATTAATTGTTCATCCTTTGGGCATTTCACTGAGATTTGACTTTAAAAGCATTGATTAATGTATTTCTGCTTTGAAATATACTTTTATTTTTCACATAACATTTCTTGAAATAAAAAATCTAAAAGCTTTTAAAATTAACTGCATTAATAATAATATCCGTTGGTTTTAATGAAAAATATTAATATATTAATATATTAATATCAATTATTCAATTAGTATATAATTTATAATAATTGGCTGTTATACAAAGTAGTATTTAAATATTTTTTTTTGTTTGAGCAGGCATAGATGACACATTATTTAATTGGGACAAAAATGAAAATGTTGGTTTGACAGTAAAAAATAATTTATCAAATAATAGTTACAAATAGGAAAAACTATTTTTTAAATAAATAATATTTAAATTATATAACATTGACATTTCACTCCATATATTCTAGAGGAAGTGGTGGCCTGTATATTTATAGGCCAACTAACCCCATTTCACAATTCCAGGCTTCACCCACTGGTTTAGCCTTTATATTTATTTATTTATATATAAATATATATATATATATATATAAGATGCCAAAATACCAGAGTATTGCAGTATCCAAAGATACATTTTTTTTTATTGGACTAACATAATAATTCCTTGGCAAGGCAAACCTCTCCATGGGGTGTACCACCGGCAGATAGTGGATGTGGCTCACATGACAAAATCCTATTAGTGGTTGGAAAAGGCAGGACTGAAAGACAGCACTGAGGCACTAATCCTAGCAGCACAGGAACAGGCACTCTGCACCAGATCAATAGAAGCTGGAGTCTACCACACCAGGCAAGACCCAAGGTGCAGACTGTGTTTTAAATTTTATAGGGCTACTAAAGATAATCTATCTAAGCAAACAAATATGGGGATTCAGTTCTATATAGATAGTGATCAGTACTATCGGACTTTTGAAGATTAAAATATACAGTTTATTTAATAATCCATTAAAAATAAGATTGACGTTTCAGTCCCAGCAGGGACTTTCATCAGGATCAGGCATAGATAATATGGTAAAACAGTGCATTTATATAGAAAGAACATGGTACATATATATATAATGGCATAAGTTGTGGCTAACCTATCTCCACTCTAGTGTATAGTACAATATAGTAGATGGAAATTTGTGTCAAGTAAGATTTAAGTTTCTATCAATAAGAGGTCTTACAGTGGACCAAATATGCTTAAAGTGCTTGCTTGGTTGTGTTAAAGTGCTATATGAAGTTGAACCCCTCTGCAAAAAGAATAATGTTTTTAATGGTTTTTAGATATTAACATTTGGTACATTAATTCAGTACTAACATTGTCTTCATGCACATAAGTAGATGGTTGTTGTAAATATTGTACTAATATTATGATGCACGTGTTTCACTTTAAATGATCTTGAAGACCGCATTGAAAGTCATGTTTCAGTGTTTGCAGATGACACCAAACTTTGTAAAACAATACAATGTGAGCAAGATATTACTTTGCTGCAGAGGGATTTAGATAGACTGGGGGACTGGGCACTCAAATGGCAGATGAAATTTAATGTTGAAAAATGCAAAGTTATGCACTTCGGCGTAAAGAATACACAAGCAACGTATACCCTTAATGGAAGCGAATTAGGGATAACAACACATGAAAAGGACTTGGGAATTGTTATAGACAACAAACTATGCAACAATGTGCAATGTCAATCAGCAGTGGCCAAGGCCAGTAAGGTATTGTCATGCATGAAAAAGGGCATTCATTCTCGGGACAAGAATATAATTTTGCCTCTTTATAAATCACTGGTAAGACCCCATATTGAATATGCTGTGCAATTTTGGGCACCTGTTCTAAAGAAGGATATTATGGCACTAGAAAAAGTGCAGAGGCGGGCTACAAAATTAATAAAAGGAATGGAACATATCGCTATGAAGAAAGGTTAACAAATTTAAACCTATTTAGTTTAGAAAAACGTCGCCTGAGAGGGGATATGATAACATTATACAAATATATTCGGGGCCAATACAAACCATTGTGTGGAAATCTATTCACAAACCGGACTTTACATAGGACACGAGGCCATGCGTTTAGACTGGAAGAAAGAAGATTTTGTCTAAGGCAAAGGAAAGGTTTTTACTGTAAGAACAATCAGGATGTGGAATTCTCTGCCTGAAGAAGTGGTTTTATCAGAGTCCATACAGATGTTCAAACGGCTACTAGATGCATACTTGCAAGAACAGAATATTCAAGGATATAATCTTTCAATGTAGGGTAATAACTGCTTGATCCAAGGATAAATCTGACTGCCATTCTGGGGTCAAGAAGGAATTTTTTTTCCTAGCTTGTTGCAAAATTGTGCTTCAAACTGTTTTTTTTTTGCCTTCTTTTGGATCAACAGCAAAAAACAAATGTGAGGAAGGCTGAACTTGATGGACGCAAGTCTCTTTTCAGCTATGTAACTATGTAACTATGTAATATTCACAGAATATTTTTATTAGCACTTTATATTTGTGACTACAGCACTTTACAATATGGCAGTACCACTTTAATATACAGCACTGCCTAAAATGGTAGCACTTTAATAAATAGTAGTGATACACTCTAGAGCACTATTATCACTTTATTAATTCATATAGCACTTTAACAAACCAAATTTGATTTAAGCATTTTTGGTCCACTTTAAGACCTCTTATTGATAGAAACTTAAATCTTACTTGACACAAATTTCCATCTACCATATTGTACTAGTGCCCTAGAGTGTATCACTACTATTTATTAAAATGCTATCATTTTAGGCAGTGCTGTATATTAAAGTATTAAAATATTATTCTTATTGCACAGGGGTTCAACTTTTAGAGAAATGAGTAATAGGAGATCACTCCAATTAAATTCACATCTAATATAAGTGCATCCACTATTCAATACTTGGATTTGGAAATATCCATCAAAGAACAAAGCCTTACACACTGTCTGTATAAAAAAGATACAGACTGGTATACATTGTTGCACAATAAAAGTGCACATTCAAGAATGTTGAAAGAATCACTACCCGAAGCGCAATTTTTGAGAGTTTCACGCAACAACTCAGACAAACATAAGATGGAAGAACAGTTAGAGGAGATGACTCAAAAATTCCTTGAAAGAGGCTATCGACATCAGGAGTTGCTCAAGACACAACAAGAAGCAAGAAATGCCAATGTCAATATGCAAGTCAGAAAGCCACCAGCAATGGTATTTCCAATGGCCTACAATGATGCTTCACCTAAAATAGCCAAAATCATCAAACAAAATTGGAAGATGCTGGCAAGCGACGATACCTTGCCCAAAGTGTTCAAAGAAAATCCGTTGATTTGTTTCAAAAGGAATAAAACATTAAAGGACATACTGGTACATACAGATCCGATTAAAAGTTACAGTCAAGAAGCAGCAATCCAGCATCGTCGCAGTGTCCGTTGTTTAGGGTGCGTTACATGTAGCCAAATGACCCCATCAAGAACTTTTTAACATCCGCACAACAATAAAGTGTTTAAAATACAACACACAATCATGTGCAAAACATCGTTTGCGGTATACAAATTAACATGTCCATGTGGGTTATTATATATCGGCAAAACCAAAACCCCACTATGTGAGAGGATACGTGGACATAGGTCGGCTATACGTGTGGCATACCTAGATGGACACTCAGAACAACCTGTGGCACAACATTTTTTTAAACATGAAACACCCACTTTCTTCTCTAAAATATATTGCAATAGACCACATTCCTATACCCAGGCGAGGTGGAGACCGTGGCAAACTTCTTCTCAATAGAGAAATTAAGTGGATTTTCCCGTTAAATATGATTGCCCCCAAAGGACTTAATGATCTCCTATCACTCATTTCTCTAAAAGTTGAACCCCTCTGCAAAAAGAATAATGTTTTTAATGGTTTTTAGATATTAACATTTGGTACATTAATTCAGTACTAACATTGTCTTCATGTACATAAGTAGATGGTTGTTGTAAATATTGTACTAATATTACGATGCACGTGTTTCACTTTAATATTCACAAAATATTTTTATTAGCACTTTATATTTGGGACTACAGCACTTTACAATATGGCAGTACCACTTTAATATACAGCACTGCCTAAAATGGTAGCACTTTAATAAATAGTAGTGATACACTCTAGAGCACTATTATCACTTTATTAATTCATATAGCACTTTAACACAACCAAGCAAGCACTTTAAGCATATTTGGTCCACTGTAAGACCTCTTTTTGATAGAAACTTAAATCTTACTTGACACAAATTTCCATCTACTATATTGTACTATACACTAGAGTGGAGAAAGGTTAGCCACAACTTATGTCATTATATATATATGTACCATTTATTTTAATCTCCAATCCTATTTCTTTCCTTTTTTCTATTTTTTCGAAAGGTCTATATTGAAGCACTTCTAATGGTTGTAGATATAGATTCATAGATCACTTTTTCATTATGTTTGGCATGAGTTTATTTATGTATACAGGTTAACAACCGGGTATACACTTCGTTCACATGCATGCTATTTCCTGATTCTAGCACCACGTGATTTTTCTGTTTGCCACGTCATCACGGCTTGTGGGGGCGTGGCTTCATCCACGCTTGCACATGGGACATTGGGGACGCTATGGGCACCACTCCCACTATTCTTAGCACCAGGGGTAAGTCATTTTTCACTAATTCCATCTATGTTTTTTCTGTATAAATGCACTGTTTTACCATATTATCTATGCCTGATCCTGATGAAAGTCCCTGCTGGGACTGAAACGTCAATCTTATTTTTAATGGATTATTAAATAAACTGTATGTTTTAATCTTCAAAAGTCCGAGAGTGCTGATCACAATCTATATATATTGAAATTTTCCTGGATTTCAAGCACCCGGCAAACAGTCTACTAAGCGTGAGTGCAAGGACTTTCTACATTTTATTATTTATATATATATATATATATATATATATATATATACACACTGCCTGGCCAAAAAAAAATTGCCACCTGGATTTAACTAATCAAATAGGTAAGAGAATCCTATTGGATAGTTACTGCATGGGCCCATACTTGGGACACAAGTATGGTGGTACATCGTTTTATGATTACCACAGGTCTTTTTCCACAAAGGCTGCTCTGGCACAGTTTAATTTTCAGGCAGACTGAAGCCATTTAAAAATGGTGCTATTCTGCAGGCACTTTGTGGGCCTCAGGACACCAGCTCGTGTTAATTGCTCATTGACCTACCACACAGTCAACCTGTGTCCTAATACCCCAGAAGTTGGTTCTAACTTTCCTACCTCTGGCACCACGGCTAGACCTGAGAGAGTTATAAAAAACAAACTAGGACGTTAAGTGTTTTTTTGGGGGGAAATCCCAGATATGTAATAATTGTAATGCAGGTACTTGCAGTTTCTGTGCCTGCACATTGTTACATGTATGTTCACTACGTTTTATGGCACATGCCAAGACGATGTGCCCAATAAAAAGTACCCCAAACCCTTTTTGGCTTTGATCAATGTGATCTCTTTCGTTATGTTATTGCATAACCCCCCCCACACACACACACACACATTTGTTGGAATTTCACCATGTTTCACAGAGGGGTTCCATATGGGCATTATTTACATGCCATCAGGCATAGCTGAATGTAAGAATCTGCAGACGGCCTTGGCCAACCCTGAGGCAGTGGACTCTCTATTAAAAATTGAGGTGGACCAGGGTTTCCTGCTGGGCCCTTCTGTTCCCTGACTTTTTTCAGTATGGAGAACTAATCCCATAGGGGTGGAATCAGGAAAAAATTCAGCAAAGCAAAGGTTGATCATCAACCCTCTACTCCCTATTCTTCTACCCTCCCTAGCCTTAACTCACTAATTTCTTCAGAGGAATTCTCCCTCCAGTATGCCACAATTGACAATGCCATTGACGCTGTTCTGTCAGTGGGGATTGGTGCATGGCTTAGTAAGACATCATAAACACTTTCAAACTTTTACCAATCCATCCCTCTCTGCGGCATCTGCACGGTGTTAAGTGGCAGGGATTGTATTATTTTCTTTCACGTCTCACTTTTGGTTCTAAAAGCAGTCTGACATTTTTGCTGGCTGCTGCTTAACATCTGTAGATGCCCCATGGTTATACATTATCTAAACAATTTCTTGCTTATTACCGCCTAGTAGCTTTAAAGATACAATTCAACTTTTTGAATATTTAGGGGTGCCAGTCCCTTCAAAAAAGATGGAGGGACCTGATACCTTGTTGATTTCCTGGGCATCACACTAGACTCGGTTAACATGCAAGCCAGCCTACCCAAAGGGGAAATTGACCGCATTCTAGCCAGCATCGATCTATTCCTTTCATGGGGATCATGCAATCATGAAGAACTTCAGGCCCTGCTGGGTTCTCTTAACTTTGCAATGAAAATTATTCCCCAGGCACGAGCTTTCATACCTAGAGTGCTCAGCCTTTTTCCCTTCTTTCAGTCAAATGATTCCCGCATTTCACTTGACATTCATGCCACCACTGATTTGCACATGTGACAGAAACTTCTCTTGAAATGCAATGGGAAGAGTATGTTTATTCCATTACAGACTACTAATCCCATTACAATTTGGACAGACTCAACTGCCATTACTGAGTTTGCTGCAATATTTGTCGATCAGTGTGTGTGGGTTTGTTGGCATGATGAAGTGAAGAGTATTCCGGGGTTTACTACCACGTCGGCCTTATTTGAGATTTACCCAATCATGGCAGCAGCAGTAATGTGGAGTCCATTATGGTCAGGCCATGCAGTTAGATATTTTTCGGATAAAAATCGGGTCACATGCCACATAATTAATAAAGGTCGTTCTGCATCTCTGACCATAATGCGCTTTCTGAGGAAATTGACTTGGCTTGCTGCTAACTATAATTTCTTCTAGGTGTGTGTCCATATTCCTGGCATTCATAATGTAGCAGCTGATCATCTATTTTACGCGTGGTTTCAGGAATACCTCAGAGCTTTACCAACGGCTGCCCTGTTAGCTACCCCGACACCATTGTGGCAGGATATGACATTGCACTAGAGCACCTATTAACTCATGACCTGCACCTATCACAGCTGGCTCTTTCGGAAAGTACAAAACAATCATATGACAGAGCTTTCTGCATTTTTAACAGGTTTTTGTTAGATTGTCATGTTGTAAATAAATATTTTATGGAAACTATTGTATCTTTCACTTCTTTTTGCCACCTTAAATTTAACACCATCAAATTATATCTAACAGGTATACAACATCACATATTCACACAATGGCCAAACACCCACAGTTTCTTGTCATCCTATCAAATTAAGACTATACTTAAAGGCATTAAGAATTCAACCTCTGGGGGGGCGGGGCCTGACCGCCAACAGGATCAGACGATGGTCCGGAACATCGGTGCCAACTAGGTGCCAAATGCAACCACTGACCCATACTGCTGCCCACAGCAACCTCCAGCAGCTAGGGTTCACGGGGATACCACTCGAGACCATGCCTGGCATTCCAAAGTAACCCGACAAGGCCCGAAGCGCTCCGGAGCTTGAGCCGGGTAGGGACGGCCGCTCTCCTGGGTCTCTGACCGGTTTCTCACTTACCCGCCCCCCTCTGGATCGGGGGGGTTATCCCGGTCCCTGCCCAGTGGACACGGCAACCACAGGACCACCAAGACCCAGCAGCGTTGCTACCAAGAAGAGCAGTCTAAGCATCTCACCAAAGATGACGGACACCACGCGTGCCGAAGGCAATGAGGGGGCCTGCAACAACAACCCAGCACTCACAATGCAAACAGCTTACAGGTACAAACTAGCCTGTTACCTACAACAGTCAAGGGTAAACCCCCAGCAGGGCGCCATGGCACGATACTTACCTTTGGGGACACAATCATGGACTCCAACTCTGGCTCCAGGGCAGGCCCGAAACGGGAGGGTGAGATGGAGGCACAGCAAACCAGCACCCGCACCGCACTGGAACACACTGCAGACACACAGGCGAACACCTACACCCCAGACGCGCAGGGGAGCCGGTCTCCCATACAAAGAGCCTCACTCCACTCACAGAACGAACACCGCTCTACCATCAGCACAGAAAAAGCCACAAAGCACAGAGACAGCAGGCTCACAGCAGGACCTCACATCACCCTTGGAGGGCTTCAGCACAGCGGAGAAAAAATGGCAAGCTCATAAAATGAAGCACGCATACTTTTGTTTCATTCCTAGCTTGAGTTTAACCATTACTGCATGCATGTTATAGAGACGCTACTCTCATACAATCTGCTACTGAAATCTAGGAAAATGCCCATGTTTCATAATGGGTCATAAGCTTAGTTAATAATATAAACAATAGGCTATGCTATCCTTGTTAAATTTTAACTACTGTGATATCGCCTTTGTTAAACAAAAAACAAAAAAATTCTCACTGTGCTCGATGTTACCAATCGCGATGTTTTGACTCATGAAGCTATAGCATGTCTCTATAACTAATGATATATAACTACACTAATTAGATGGCTTATAGCATGGTTATTGCAACAATCTAACTTAATTATACTTTCAATCTATGTTTAAATCCAATTGTTTAAGCCTGATAAAAACATAAAAAATGGTGCTTGTTATTCATGTGCCCCACATGTTCCACGTGGGAAAAGCCAGAGGACTGCTTTTGGGGCACCTCTCGCCAGCTTGTATTATGTATTTGCATGGCAAAAATAAAGATTTAAAAAAAAAAAAAAAAAAAAGAATTCAACCTCTAACCCTGTGTTTTAAAGTTACCTTATATAACAGACACAAGGAATCCATGTATAAAGTGGAATTATGAGGCAAAATGTGGTTCTTTGTTGAGCCTATTTGCATATGCCTACCCACAATCCCTTGCAGTAGTGAGAGCACTGTAAAAGTGTGATTTCTGTGGGGAAAACAAGCCTTGTGGCTTGACTGGTGTGTATAGAATTGAGTTTAACAATGTATTAACAACCCACTTACTTCAGGTGGAAATGGTTTTCATCCACACCTTTTCCCCATCAAAACCTGGTATTTTTCTTTAAAAAAACAAACAAAAAAACCTAATCTAGGTAAAAATAATGGGGATTTAGTTACATGATATATCAATCATTGCGTAAGCCTGCCACAACGGCAATTTTGGCAAGTCTTATCATAGCAACCAAATGTTTGATTTTATCAAATGAATCCACTCTCTGCTGGGCAAGATTAAAGAGGGGTGCAAAATTGGGGGGAGGTGGCCTGGACTCCAAAATATTCATATATGAGACCATGAGGGCTTCACTCACCTGAACATACATACATTATAGGGTGCTGCTTGGGCTTATTTATACAACATTCAAAAACATACCATAAAAAGAGCTTTTTCCAGTCTGTGAAACAGTAATATGATTTACTAAATATCAGATGGCAATGTAAGAGGGAGAGGGCTTTAAACGTTTGGCCTGGGTGGCATGTGCAAGTAAATGGCATTTTTTTTGTGCACAAACCCACAGCTCTGTTGGGTGGCTCTGCTAATGTGAAGCATACACTATGTATAGATTTGATACATGTGCCTGCTTGAGTTGCTATCATATATCTATGCAACTGTATAATCTGCACAGTACAATGGAGCTTTCATGGAGAGTTGCAGAGTCTGATTCCATCTGCAATGCTACTAATGACAACTGGTGTGTGTTATGATCACTGTCTCATGGTCAGTGACAAATCACAGTCACTCGCTAACACCTTCATGGATATCATGCATGCTCATTGAAGTCTGGAAACATGGTCAGCCTTAAAAACTGCTACCCACCAGAAATTATCATTGTGCATTGAAAGTACAGTACACTGGCCCATACATAAATGCACACACTTTTGGGCTAACAATAGCCATTCACAATTCCCGTCAGCTGCCTTACTACTGTAAGCAGGAAAAACAGAATCATGCAGGCACTCAACCGATCTCTTTTTTCAAGCTTGCCAAGCACCTTAATTGAGCTGAAAACATGTCTGTGTTCTGCAATACCTCCACCTGATACACACATTGAATGCCTGGATCATTCTGTTTCTCCTACTATTGACTGAGGTTTAACCAGTCTCAGGTTTAGCTAAGCACCTTGTGTGTGAAGAGAGTGCAGGACCTTCTGTTTACTACTGCAAACAGTCATCCCAACACACTTCCCACTAATTTTCAGATAATTGGTTTGAGGCTCCAGCACACCACTTTTTTGCCAGCCTTTTAATGCTCAGGAGACAATTGCCCACCTGCCCCCCACCCCATTGCCTGTCCTCCAAAGCCTATAGAGCATTTGTACTTTTGCTAATTGGCACCACAGCACAATTCTGACAGTTACTATTTTGTAATTCTGGTGTATTTTTTCTGCAAAGCCAGTTAATACAATATTGGGTTCTAGTGAATCAACATGCAAATGTTGTAAATTCAAGCCCAACAGAGACTGAGTGGCTCAGGAACATCTAAGGCATTAATTCTTTAGAACTATTTACAGTCAGTATACTCATAAAATAGCCAAGAATGCCAAACAGTTATTTTATGAAGATAACATAATATATTTGCACTGTGACTACTGGAATGCAAGAATTAATTAAATAAAAGTTACATAGCTTATTATTGCATGCTAAGTAGACTCATAAAATCATACAATACTGTACAATACTGTATTCAAACCGCTGTCTGAATACATACACTATTTCAGAACTTGGTGCCTTAAGGACCACCTGTATACCAGATGATGGTGCCTGCGTAGCACTGACTGCATTTTCTGATATTACTCATTCATTTATTTTTAACTGTACAATATATTAAGCAATTCAATAGGGCTGTGTACCACTACCTTCCAGATAAAGTGAACAACAATAAACTGCTAGCAAAAAAGCATGCCATCTCTCTGAAATCATGATTTCTGGGCAAATTATCCCACTTTCATTGAATTATTCACAAGATCTTAGAAATGTTCTACCTACCACAGCGATCTATGCCGTTCTTTGACTCTTCCAAGATGAAAATGCAGAGACGTCGCTGTGGGTCCCACCATATGCCCTCCAGTCTGGATCTCGCTGATCTGCTGAGTGGATTTCCACCACGTAGAGAGCCATCTCGACTTCTACTCTGACAGAACCTACCTCACCTATGGGTCAACGCATTCTGAAGTCGCAACCCGATCCGTCCTCAGTGTTGAGGGATATTGGAACTTTTTCTCCAGCGGCAGCGCAAGCAACAAAAATAAGGCGGCGCCAGTAAGCCACAAGATCTCCGAAGCCAGCTAGGCCCCGCACAGGCCGACTCACTCCAGAGCTCTGAGCCACCGGGAGAGGAACGCCCTCTACAAGATGCTCCAGACAGACAGGCCCCTGTGACCAAATAAGATTTCCACAAACTGGTAGTGGAGATCAAGACTCTCTTAGTGACGGTTGTGGCGCTTATCAAGGCAGACAGTCCTCTGAAGAAGACCTTAAACAAGACATGTCCTCATTAAAGGATTCTGCAAATAAATGCTCTATGCCCTATTGTGTCACTACACAGCTATTGATGATTGGTCTAGGCCAAACTACCTGAAGATGACAGGCATCCCTGACACTATCACCCTGGAAGAGCTCCCTCACTACATGAGGCATTTAGATATATGCTTATGTTTTTTTGACTATGCGTGTACTGCTGATAATAATAAAAAAGATTGAATTTTTTTTCTCTAAATTAAGTTAAATTCAACAGACACTCAATTAAAGGATATATGCTCAATGGTCACATCTTAATCCATCACTCAAAGTGTTTTGGGTGAAGAATAAATTATGTGTGTCTCTCTCCACCAGGGCCATCTTTAACTCAGGGCAAACGGGGCAGCTGCCCTGGGCTTAGTTGCTCCTGGGGGGCCCCAGAGCAGCTGCCCCATGGGCCACGCAATTTGCACAGCCCCCTTCCTGTTTGGCAGCCGGCTGGGAGGAAGTGAATGCCACGCGTCACTCCCTCCCACCGGATATCAGAACCTGGCGGGAGGAGAAAGGCAGGGAGGAGGGGAGTTCCAGAAGATAACTCTCAACTGCTTCAGCCTGCCACTGGGCCCCAGGGAAACCACCCTCCAGAAAAAGGTAAGAACTAGGAGGGTGGCTAAA